GTACATCTATATTTTCACTGCGATTTTTATTGAGGCAGGAGAAAGCCTCCCTGTCTTGTTCATTCAAATGACCAGCATAGCACAGCACCAAAGTGCAAAGTGCACAGGGTCCATGCACATTTATCTCAATTTGTTGAAAACCTTAAAAATCAAGTTAGTTAATAACTAAGGAAATATAAAGATCAGCTGTTCAATAACAGGACAAAGACGGGAACAAACAATGGGAGTGAGAGAGAAAATAATATCTATTCATTAGAGTATCTCCGTCAGCAAACCGGAGTGTATCACAAGGCTCTTTTGCTCTGAGTAGACAATAAGAGTATGAGCTTTTTAATATTTATGTGATATCAAGGATTCAATTTAAAAAGCACTCTTGCCAAACAAAAATGTTTCTGGGGCCAAACACCTAGTTTTTAGAGCATCTACCTAGTCCCTTTTCTTCCTCCACTCCCTCCTGTGGTTATCATTCTTTTATTTCTTTGTATTGTAAAGTCTACAGTATTGTCTAAAAAGAAATCTGAAGGCTATCTGTTGATTTTTCCCCCACAGCAATGGTAACTAAGAATTGCCTAGTTATTTTGCTACCTCAATAAAGTTATAAAATGGCTCTTAAAAAGGGCTTGGAAGTTTAAATTAATTTTGTTTCACTGTATTCTTTATGTATTTGATGAAAGATGGAAGTAAAGAAAGAAGTAAAGAAGTAAAAGGACGAAGATGTGATAGTGTGTGTGTGTGTGTGTGTGTGTGTGTGTATATAAAAAAATATACACACTGATTTCCCAAGATGAATGCATCCAATATGTATCACAAACATATACCAATAAAAAAGGGACAAATAATAAGGCAATGTTTTTCTGCTATTTTCTATTTCTTGCCAAAAAAAAATCATAATGTCCATTTGGCAGAAATTATATCTAGTGGAAAATTGGGCTGATTGTTACCAAAAAAAAATACGTTGAATTCAGGTTAATGCACCAGGGGTTCAGAGACCTTGTCCATACAAAGCACATTCCCAGCAGTGGGTGACTGGAGAAGGACTCTATTTCTAGCTCTAACTCAGCTATAAGGATAATGAAAAAGCAACAGGAAAATAAAAAATTATGCCTTTGATGCAGGACCTCCCTTCCACCTGGCTTTCAGTTGATTTTGTTTAAAATAGGTCTATATTTAAATACTTAGCTTATTATTCTTTCATTCATTCATTCCAGAGACCATAGACAGACAGATAAAATGGGGAGGGAGAGAGAAAGTAAAGACTTAGAAAAATATAATTTTAAAGTTAGGAGAATGCTTTTGATTTTTTTCAATTTTAAATGATTATAGAAATTTAAAGCTAATACACTGTAGCTTAAGCCTAGTATAAATAAGCACAACTTGATGTGAAAATGTGTCTCCCATTATAATTTGTTCCCATTGGCAAAGACGGGCTACTTTCTGACATAGGGTCCAGAACGGCCTTGTGCTTTGCACTGGGGCCCATTCAAAGACACTTAGAAAACAGGCATCCGCCCAGGTGTGTAACTGGTGACCCAGGCTCTCTAACTGAAAGCCCACACACCTGGCCAACAGACGTCGCGGAGGTCAGTGGTGGTAACTGGGAAGGTGGTGCTGAGTGAGACTCAAGGAAGCACGCAAGTGGAGGATAAACATATTGTGATGACAGTCAGTGGCTGCAGTGGAGGCCAGGAGAAGAGTGGCTCACTCAGTGTATTCCTCTTCCCTCATCCCATCTGATGCAGTAGCTCGTATCTTTTTTGTTTGCTTGGTGCACAATAAATCTCTTATTTCAGTGACTATGTGCAGAAGTTCCCATGGCTTTTTCTACTAGGCACATGTGTATTTAGAGTGAGGGAGTGATTATGATTTTAAAAAATGGCTTCCCGTTTAGTTTATACCCCCCAAATATTTTGTTAAATACCAAATTCAGGACACCTTTGTACAAACTTTAAAACAAACAGTTTAGAAATCCTAACACTGTCAATTGCACCTTCTATCTTTCATCGTTTTTATTTCCAAGATTATATTGGCATCACAATGTCTCTTTTCAGTGGAAAAGTAGGAAAATCTAATGTAGAGCTAGATAGAGATAAATAATACCCAGTTTCCTGCCCTTGGGAAGCTGCCCATCTTATGCAAGGTGGAGACATCGGGCAAATAATTATCCCAAAGGGTCTGTAAAAGATTAGTTCCAGGACAATTGCAGATATGAAAACCCACAAGGCTCAAGTTCCTTATATAAAATGCCTTAGTATATGCATATTACCTATACATATCCTCCTATACACTTTAAATAATTTCTAGGTTATTTGTAATATGTTATACAATATAAAGTGATATAAATTCTTGCATTGTTGTATTATTTAGGGAATGATGGCAAGAGACAAATCTGTACCTGCTCAATACAGTTGAGTTTTTAACATATTTGCACTTATTGATTTTTAAATATTAGCATTTGGTTGAATCCATGGATGTGGACTTAAGAAGAGAGGGCCGACTGTAACTGCAAATGCTTTGTTTTGTGCAGTAATAAACCATGAGCACTAAAGCACAGCTCAGTGAGGGAGAGGCAGGGAGAGAACATCAAAGAAAGCTCTCTGGAAGAGGAGACATGATGTATGTCAGACAAAAAAAGACCAAACTCTGTTCCCCACTTTCATGGTCCCTTAGGTGCTAGCTCTGTCTCCCTTACTAGCTACCTCTCCCTTTACTCCAGCACACTGGCATTCATAGCTTTTCAACTCTGCTTCCTTCCTCTGGACATTTGGATGGTCTTTCCTGTCCCTGGAGCTTCCTGCTCCACCAGGTTAATCCACACCCTCCTGGAAATCTCAGTTCAGATGTTACTTTCTCGAGAAAGCGTCCACAGATCCCTTTTGTATTACCCCGGTGTAACCACTCTACCTTTACTGCATTTGACAACTTTTAGTTTATAATGAGTCCTATACTTGGTTATTACAAATCATTTTGGTCATTACAAAAATATTAGCTAGATAAAAGCAAATACCTACGTGCCTGTTTGTTGTTGTTGTTGTTCTTTTGTTTTGTTTTTACTCTACAAAGCACTCAGCACAGGGCAACGTACAGGGCAAACATCCGATGGCTGTCTTGTGGCGTGGATGTCCACACTCTTAAGGAGGATGGGAACATGGACTACTGGTAGGGTAGTGGGAGTAGGGACTGAGAGAAGGGAGACTCTGGAGAAGATTGTAAGATGCACACCAGCATGGCTGGATCAGGTATTTGATGGGAGAGGAGAAATAAAGGACAATCAGCATAATCTCTGCTTTGCCTGTCCCTGTTAACTCATCAAACAGTAAAAAGCAGAGCCTTATATGGCTCTGTACTAACACATTTAAAAGATGTCCCAAAGCAAATACTCATTGGTTTTCAATATTTCACATAGAAATTTGAGAGTTACACATTTAAAATGGCTTTTTTTTTTTTAGACAAAAATCCTATCTTTGCTTTGTTCCAAATTCAACCACGCAGTTGTTTAGCAATCTGACCAGCAATAGCAATCGCAGCACATGCTCTCAAGGAGACTTACAGCAATTCAGTGAAACCTGATTTCACCACCTCTGCACTTTCTGCCTTGTCTCTTCTCTCCTCACTACACTGCCAAAATGGTCCCATGCGTCTCTGCCCAGAAAGGACCTGAAGTTGTGTGTGGGGCTGTGACCTTGTCCAACATGTGAACATGACTGATTCCATTGCTCTTTCCAATCCTAAGATTATCATTTCACCTTTCCCTTCCTCATTTGCAGAGCCTTTTCAACCAAGAACTAAACATTTCTTGCATTAGACTTTACCTGAGTTTACTACGTCTAGATACAAAGAAAAACTGTGAATAAAATTTGAACCTGACAATTCATTAATTACACTGCATTTTCAAGAATTTCAACTATTTGTCGCTACTTATACCCTCTCCCTAAAACCACCTAAACAAGCTCTAATATTTGTCCCTTGTAAGCATTTTGCTCAGGAACTTAAATCCCAAGTAAAATTGTCTCATAATGCATATTTTCTCCAAGTTTTCACAGCCTAATCCATGATTCTGGAAGGAGTTTGAGGAACCATTTAAAATTAAAGAGATGCAACAAAGATACAGCCTATTTCCTAAGTAAAAGAACTCTGGCTCACCTTTTGAGCCTTACAGAGATAATCATCCTATAACAAAGTAAAATAATTTATAGTTTCTCTCAGCAGATGAAGTTCTGGAGTGCTCTAATATCCTTGAGCAAGTACACCCCGGAGTACCAGAATCACTGCAACTGGTGGACATTTTTTCATCTTAAGTACTGAAATCCATTGAAATACATCTTACTCTATATTCCTTCTACTGCTGCTGCTTCTCTCTCCCTCCTTCTCTCTCTCCCGCTCCCTCTTCCTCCCCCCACCCCCTCTCCCTCTCCCCCATTTCTCAAATATTTCCTAGAGTTGCTTTTTCCTTTCCCAGACACTCAATAATTATCACACTGTGCCGACAGCTAAAAAGGTTACTGGCCAGTGCTGGAATATACAGTCCAAAACAGGACTCCTCAAAAATTTCTATATAACATTGCTGTCAAGGTGGTAACCACAGCAATGGTTTGGAACAACAAAACAGCCACACATAAACGTGCTTAAGTAACAAAGTTTTATAACTGTATTGTAGGTCTAGAGGTAAAACTCTACTTAGATTAAGAGATGAAGGTTCAAGGTTCACATAACCTAACAACATGTCCCTCGGGTACAAAATACCAGTGATTCACTTCCCTTACACAGTAACATTTAGTGTGCTTGCAACAAACTTGCATAAAAATTTTCTAATTCTAAGAATGTAACCAATGAACAGCAGAGAAAGCTGTGCCTAAAAATCACCCCACCTGCTCCTGCCAATCTATCTTCTAATATACTCTGTCTTTGGAGGAACAGTCCGTCATCTCAAAGGCTCCCCAATTTTGACTTTGCCCCTCTGATGCAGCAAGTTCTAATGGCCCAGTTTACTACAGGTCAGCCCTTCTGTGCAGCTCTATTCCACTTGACCTTTGGCTAACAGCAAGGAGCTTGGGCTGTTTATTGAGATTGTGATTATAACGCACGCAAAACCAGAACAGAATTCCCAGATTGTAGTGCGCCTTTGCCCTGACTCTGCGTGTGAAGAAGTGTAGCACAAAATATCAGCACTTAACCAGTGTGATAGCCTCTGTTCTCATCTGTGCACATCTTCACACTAACCTGTTGTGATTTTCTTCTTTTCCCTCCAGACTACTTTTGCTGTATATTTTATTTTGTTTCTCTGAGATAAGGCTCTTACATTACATAGGTTGCCTGACAAACTTTCTTCTCTCTGCATCCCCAGCCCAGGCCATGGTGAAATGAAGAACCAAGTAAGTAATGAAGGCAAGAACCCATCTGGGACGTGGTAGGCCCCGGGTGGTTTTGTCTATTCCTTTAATTGCTATCTCATCAGCTGGTGTGTTCTCTCCTCAGCAAGAATTAAGAAAGGAACTAAACAAGGAAAATCTAATTCAATAATTAAACAATTCATTATTTCTGTATTACTTTTGAGATGGAAGATATATCTTAATCGTCCAGTGCATATATATTTATATATTTTATATATTTATTTAACTTTGGGTGGTATCAGGAAATGCATATTGATATTTTTGCAAAATGAGCCCAGTGACCCATTAAAAGGATGGTCACCTCTGGATGAGGGTCTCATTATGATGAAAATAAACACAAGATGTTGTGTAACCCAAGAGATACGTAATAAAGAACAAGGCTGTGTACTGCTTTTCTAGCAGGAAAGGAAAATATGAACTCATTTTTCATTGCCTGCTTGCCATCCAGAGCTTATGCAGCAGAGAAGTTTGCTGTTTTCAATAAAATTTAGACCATAAAATCGCTTCTTGGCCTTTTGGCTAAGAACAAGTGTAAAATTTAGACTACAAAATATATAAGATGATTTGCTTGAATAGAACTCAAGCCTTACAGAGCTAACTAGCCCTCACCAAGATCAAACTTAAGACTTTGTAATATTATGTCCCAAAACTCAACCATTGACAGTCTAGGTCTGAGAAGGGGACTCGTAAGAGACCACAAGTAAATTACTCAAGAGGAGGAAGAAAATATGGAACAAAGTCTTGTGTCACAAGTACTGCATTTCTCTCTCCATTTCTGGAGTTTTCAAAATCAATGAGCAATGAAAGATCAACTATTCTGGTGATCTCAGTTTTCCTCTTTCTTTAAGGAAATTATCTTTTCTCAGAGCCATGGAATCTTGGTAAGTAAAGAGAATTTAAAAGCCATCAGGCCCCAGCTCTACACTCTAATCCACAGATTACCTCTGTTGTGTCCCAAAAGCAGTGCCTGCTCTCAGTCAAAGCCATTCTAGAGACAAAAACTGGAACTGCATCACAACATTGTCTGCTCCATTTGGGGGCAAGTTGAATTGAGGAAAGGTTCTAAGTTTTGTACTATCTTAAGAATATTGAAACCCTAAGCCTTTAAAAGATTTTGATGCTCCCTGCCTTTTAAGCAAGATGGAATTTTATGTAATTCAAAATTTAAAACTATCAAGTTGTGAAATAGGGAAACTAAATTAAGTTCTAAGTTTCCTCATAAGAAAAATTTGATGTTTACATTTTTATTATTTATTTTATTTATTTATTTACCTTTTTTTTTTTTGGTACCAGGGATCGAACTCAGGACCTTACACTTGCAAGGCAGGCACTGGAACCACTGGGCTAAATCCCCGGCCCGATGTTTCCTTTTTAAAATTTCAAATGTCAAATTCTAACAATTTTTAAATTTGGGGGGTACTTCAGTGCCCTTGTTTTGCAAGGGGGTAATTCATCTTGGCCATTTTATTTATTTTTTTTAATTCATTAAATTTATTGTTACATTTTAAGTATACAATATGACGACATTTATCGTTGGGAATTTGTACCTTACCATGATGTATCTTAGTTCTTATTTTTTTCTCCATTCCCCTGCATCTTGATCATTTATATCTTCCCTCCTTCAGAGTAAACAGCCTCTCTCCTTTTTACCATTCCTCAAGATAACAGTTTCCAAATTTTCACTTTTACTTCTAGTTTACCATTTTCTTTCTTACCACTGTCAGTATGTCCAACTCAGCTGGAACCCTAATACTGATCATCCTGCTCCACACATGGACCTTTCAATCAATGCCCACTCCAATTCTTGGTGAACCATTGCAGTAGTAACTCGATGAGTTCAAAGTTCACTAAAGCCCCTAACTATAT